TAATATAACTCCGACTGGATTCGTCTGAAAGAAGAAAGTCATATACACCTAGGATGCCTCGGGGGTGAGTAAAACACAGCCTAATTTTCATTTTTGGGTGAACTAACCCTTTAAGAAGGATCAACACACATAACCTTTGTCCTATGCGTGTTGTGAAGTTAGTGTGATACTTACGTCCAGTTTGGGAAAGTCGGTGAGGATCTGTGACAGTCGATCATGGTAGTTCTGCTGGGTGAATTTGATTTTGCGCATATAGAAATGTCTTATTCGGTGGATCTGGTAGTGTTTGTGTATAACAGTGGGAGTTTTTCGCTGGGTTTTGGATAAAGTCAGATCTATGAAATCCTGCAGGAAGAAAATCAGACAGATAAATAAACTTGTGTTTGATTTTTTTAACAATAAAAAAAAATTCAAATTACCATACTGATAAACACCAGGGTTCACAGATATGTGGAGAAAATTACTTTCCATGACTTTATTATGATTATTCCAGCATTAATGATTACTTTTATATAATATTTATATAATAAACATAATATTAAATGCTTTTTCAATTTTAGACAGTGAAGTGCAACTAGAAAAACGTATATTCTCTGAATTTCTACTGTATCTGCATTTCCCATGAATGGAAAGGAAATTATGAAAGAATTATTAAATTTCAAGGTTTTCCATGATCATGAGATCCTGGAACAATGATATAAAATTAATCAATTAATCAAAATATCTTAACAAGATCTTCATCCCTCTTCAGGTGTTTTAAGCCCATTACTACTCATTCTTCATTTTAACATATGACGCCAGTAAAAACATGTTGAATGTTAAGTGAATAAATACAATTAAACACATGAAACGTTAAATGGCTCAACACCGCGCGCACGTGTGTACAACACAAGCAACATACTGTCAATGTCCGTTATTAACACAAACACCCACAATACTTTCTATAACATTTAACCCCGCATATGTGAGTAAAAACACGGTGTCATTTTCCTACCTTAGCGGTGGGAACCACCATAATCTTTTTAAAGTTGTACAGAGCCATGATTGCGGCGCACGCGACTCCTCTACAGAGCACACGGAAGGGCCGAAACACGTAGCGGACGCATGTCATGAAAAGCAACACACGTGGTCCCGCGCTGACGAGTTCACAGCGTCACCTAGCGGAGGGAGGAGCCACACAGACCACTGGAACTGCAGAACCAAGTCGCACTCATTTTAAAGATAACACAAGTGCAGTTTTTGGGTAAAACATTTTACAAAAAGAAGTTTCTTAGGAATTAAATTATAAAACTTAAAAATAGATGTTCTGGTTGTCGAATTATTCAAACATGTTATAAAGTGATTTCAGAGAAATGTTGCATGAGAAACCAGATATTTCCAGATTCTGGACATGACACTAAATACTAAATTTTAAACGACATTAATTGCACGTTTGGTTCTATAGCCTGACCCTGGTTTCAGTGCAGTTTGCAGTCTCTTTCCCTTCACTGTTGAAAAATGAATGGCTGTACAGGAGAAGCAAGAGTATGTGCACAACTAACACTATACTGTAGGTAACTAGATGAGATGACCATGTTATATGTGTTCGAGCATGTCTGCATTTGTATGTGATGAGGTATTCGTCCTGCTGAGGTATTGTGTCAAAAAAGTTTTATTACTAATCAGTGCTTTACACAAATCCTGTGATAATGTGTCTTTGAAGTGTGTGTGTGTTTAAAAAAAAAAGGCACCAGCAATGGCTATAAGCGGTGTGGTACGTTTCCATTTACATAATCGGCCCTCATAATTGTATGATGTTTGCATGCATGTGTATGAGCAAGTATGTGTGTGTGTGTGTGTGTGTATATATGTGTGTGCATGGCTGCAATCCTCACACCGCCACTTTTTCAAGTGACCGTATGGGTGGAGTTATTGCTTTCAGGCCATTGCCAGGGCAACTGTTACCACGGCTAAGGGCGTGTCCAGTTGGCATGGCAGCATGGGAGTGTTCAGGCAGGCGTGGCAGGAAGACAGGACAGGAGCGTGTGCGGGCGTGGCCTTTGTGACCTCCTGCGTGACAGATGAGGTGGCTCACCGTGTCCAGCGGGGAAAGCGTGTGTGTGTGTGTGTGTGTCTGCTCCTCGCACCGCTTCAGCGAATACCAGGTAAGGAAAATGAACAGGAAGCCCAGGAACTTCAAGCTCGCTGCCAGCCCAAAGTAAACAAAGCGGAGGGAAGTGACATCGTACTCCCAGCACGACCCATGGAAACCACAATCCTGCTGCCACAGCATACAGGTGGTGTCAATCACAGCTCCAAAATAGATAGGAGTGGGGATGTAGGCTGAAGAGGCAGAAAGAAAAAGAAAATATATAAAAAACTGTTTGAATATTCATTCATTTAGCAATCCACTGATTAAAACACTGTGGTAGTTGACAGTAGGGTGGGGCGAAAAAAAATTCAAGATATTTTCAGCCTTTCAAATAATATTTATGTCTTGATTTTTACATATACTACCGTTCAAAAGTTTGGGCTCTGTAAGTTTTTTAAATTTATTTTTTTAAGAAATTAATACTTTTATTCAGCAAGGACACATTAAATTGATCAAAATTGTGAATAATGACATTTATAATGTTACAAAAGATTTATATTTTAAATAAATGCTGCTCTTTTTAACTTTCTATTCACCAACAAAATCCTAGAAAAAAATGTTTCTACAAAAGCAGAACAACTGTTGGTAATGATAAAAAATGTTTATTGAGCACCCAAATCAGTAAATTAGAAAGATTTGTGAAGGAAAATTCGGTCTTGCCATCACAGAAATATATTACAATTTAAAATATATTACAATAGTGAAGCTATTTTAAACTGTGATAGTATTTAAAAATATTACTGTTTTGCTGTATTTTTGATCAAATAAATACAGCCTTGTTGAGCATAAGAGACATTAAAGATCTTACCGACACCAAACTTTTCAGTATCATTGTACTTGCTCTAAAATGGCTTTAAAAAGGCTTCATTTTGGTTAGAGGAAGTCATTTTGACCAAACAGCCATTGAAGACAAATACGTCATTAACATTTTGATATATGAAAATGCCACTGTGAGATTTCACTGAACACTATTGAGTGAAGGTGCATATGAATCATTCATCAGAAAATCATTAAATCAGAATTTTCAATGACTGAATCAGACAGTTTGAACTGATTCACGGAAATTAAACTTCCTTCAAACTCCAAAGCCATTTTTACTAATGAAGGTTAATTCATAGATGCTATTATAACATCTTGGTCTTAATATTCTTCTAAGTCGTGAGCCAAAAAGTCTACTGATATGGTCTTCGGGAAATGGAAAGGCCAAATAAAAAGAGCATTAAAATCAAGCTTAATTCTTAAAGTTTAATATTGTCAGCAAAACTATCCTGAACATATGATGAATATTATTCGATATTCAATTTGTCCAGCTTTAGTGGACGGTCAAAAAAAAAAAAAAAAAGATAAATTCAATTAAATCTGTCCAATCCTACCAAGAGTCCTGAGAAGAACAAACTGCATTCCCAGAGCAAACGGCCTGTCCTCTTCCTCCACTGACCTGCTCAGGAAATAATCGGGATGAGCAAAACAAAGAGGCAAAAAGAGATGATAGCGGAGTACATGGAGAGAGGCAGACCTGAGCGTAACGATGATGACGGACGGCTGACCACAGGCGGTTATGAGAGTGACGATGAAGAGAAAGATGAGGAAGGTGATGAGGGTTCCACATGTGCGCTCACACTTTCCTGCAAGTGCGTAACCGTTCTCGTTCAGGTACGTCTTCACAATCACCACCTGCAGCTCGTGGTTTCCTCCCGACGGAGTGATCACCTGTCTGCTCTGAACGCATGCGCAGTCCGAATAGTTTCTGATCTGAGAAGGAGAAATACATACATTACGATACACATGAAAAATGTCAACTATACTGACAGACACAAAGTCTCGACAACAATTTTTTTCATATAAATATTTAGGCTACCATCAAAGTGGGGTCTGGGATCCACGACTCAAAGCCAGGTGTCTGAAAATTAATTTAGGACCTTTGATTTTCGCAATAAGGAAAATGTGTACTGAATTGCGGAATTTAGTCATAAAAATTTTATTTACTGTATTATGCGTTATGCTGTATAACGTGGAATGTCATGGAATTTGGCAAATCTTGGATGAATAAAATGGCACTTTGTTTGCCTAAAAATAAAAGGAATTGTTCAAACTACCACTTTTGATAATGAACTTGCATTAAATCATAAATTCAGAAAAATTAAAACAAACAGAATAAAAAATTTAAAAAAATAAAAACATTTGATAGGGTCCTAAGATTTTAAAAATATAAATAGATTATTAAGTTGTATGAATTACATTGTTTAGGCATGATTTTTAATTATTAAAATTGATTTAAACCTTTAAAATTTAATCCAGAAAAATTAAAACCGAAAACGCTGAATTTGGGGTCCATGTACCTTCTGGTCATTTGATTTTCTACTTAAAAAGTAATAAAGAGAAATGGTTTCATTTTCGTTTTTTTTGTTCAAGAAACGGAAAAACAAAAATTAAGCTAGATTTTTCGTATTTTTGTTCATGGGTAAAAAAATAGATTATGCTTTAATATTTGTTTTCGAATGTGTGGGCGGCCCTGAAACGCCCCTTTTGACCCCCATCTTCTTATCAGGATCGCGCCAGCACCTCCGCCGACCGGAGAAGTGCAGTAGTCTACTAGTTGCACTCTATACGAGATGTATAGCTTCAATTGTTTTTGTTTGTAATAGCGAATGAAAATATGTTACCTGTGAGGTTTTTCTTAGGCCTAGAATAAAATGAGTGGGCTAAAATCAGCAGGGCCGCGCCCACATAATCAAACCGTTCTCTCGGTTTGATTTCCTTCAAAATCAAACCGTTCTATTTATTTCTTTTTGAGTAGAAAATTAAATGACCAGAAGGTACACAAACCATTTGGGAACAATAAAATGGAATTTGAGAAAAATAAAATGAATTTAATATAACCCTAAAAATAAAATTTTTGTTAAACTTTTAATACATGCTTTCTTCTCATCTTCCCAGCTACCCCATCAGTACAGCACCAGTTTACCATCCAACTGGGCTCATCAACGATAATCCCATCGAGTTCGGCCAGGAATCTTGGGGTGATCCTTGATGATCAGCTGACCTTTAAAGATCACATTGCAAAAACAGCACGATCATGCGGGTTTGCACTACACACCATCAGGAAAATCAGACCCTTCCTAACAGAGCATGCAACACAGCTTCTTGTCCAGGCCCTTGTCATTTCTAGGTTGGACTATTGCAATGCTCTTCTGGCTGGACTTCCAACATGTGCAATCAGACCTCTGCAAATGATTCAGAATGCAGCAGCACGTCTTGTATTCAATGAGCCCAAGAGATGAGCCCACGTCAAACCACTTCTCATCTCTCTGCACTGGCTTCCAGTCGCGGGTCTCATCAAGTTCAAGACATTGGTGCTTGCCTACAGAACTGCCACAGGCTCCGCACCCTCCTACCTCCGCTCTCTCTTATGCATCTACATCCCCTCCAGAAGCCTGCGGTCGGTAAATGAGTGGTGGCTCGTGGTCCCATCGCAGGGAGGCACAAAATCAGTCTCAAGGATGTTTTCTTTCACCATACCCTGTTGGTGGAATGACCTACCTAACTCCAGCCGAACAGCCGAATCCCTCACAATCTTCACTGAAAATTAATCTGTTCTGTGAGCATCTAACTGCCTCCAATAATAATAATAACAATAATAAAAATGCCATGCCTTCACTTTTTCTGTTCTCTTATTATCCTCCTGGCCTAGCATTTTGAGTGATGTATAACGGGCACTTCTCGTGTTTTTTGCCATCTTATGCTACATCGCTTGTTGTATTCCTCAACTGTAAGTCGCTTTGGATAAAAGCGTCAGCCAAATGAATAAATGTAAATGTTTTGTTTACAACAGCTTAATTAACCATTTAAACAAAGTCCAAGATGAAAACAGAAAAAAGGGAATCAGAAAAAAAAGGTTCCGATTGCATCTAAGAGTACAAATTGTGCTTAATCACTGTTATAGTTATGAGAGGGTCCTTAGAAAGTTTTCTCTACTCTAAAGGGGTCCCTGGCCCCTTTAGCAACATAATGTAACATTAGGATTCCTTTACAAAAAATAATGATTAAATTATTTTTAAAAGTTAAACAGCATTCATTTTAAAGTCAGAGAACATGCAATCATTTAGACAATACAGCAAAATAAACCCCAACATGGTTTTGTCAAGCCATGAATTCATTCTTGATCTACATTTCAATTGACTACAGCCTTTGTTTTAAAAACCCTTGGTTAAAAATGACTCACTCCTGAGGTTTGGTTGGCGATGTTGCTGCAGCCAGCCAGACACGGGTTAAAGTAAGTGATGCCATCAGAGCCACAGACAGGTGCATACTCATGAATCCTACAGCCACAGTTGACGTTACAGCTTCCTGTCAGGTTTCGGTGAGACAGAGTCAGCGTTGGCCTGCAAAAAAACAGATCGAACATCATTCAGTGCAGCTCATGTTTGCAGGTGATATTTATGTGCATGTCTAGAGGGTTTTACTCCATTACCCGGTGGTGTAAGGGATATTGATTCCACCGAGGTTGATGCTCTCACAGCCGACAATGAAGAGAGTGGAAAAGCATAGCAAAGACACGCCGCTGCAGATCATGGCCAGCTTTGCTGCTTCTCTTTCACCCAGCTTCAGTTTCTTAATGATGTACCCACCTAAAACAATACCGACACCTGCACTGGGTACGATGATCAGACCTGCACACACAAATGCACAATTAATAGACACCCATAGTGAGTACTGAGATCAGATCGACACATGTTTGTGTGTGTGTGTTTGTGTTGTACCTGTGTATATACTGGCATTAGATGCTGGAACACCAAATTGAGATTCAATAAATTTGGGAATGAAAGTGATGAAGGCTGTGACAATGGCACATTCCGCCGTATATGACAAACTCACGAATAAAAACGTCACGTTGCTCAATATACGCACTGCTGCTTTTGGCAAATCTGGAGAGAGACAGAAACAGACAGAGAGAGAGAAACAACACAGATTTATAATTTGAATTTAAAATTTGAATTTTGGTATGAGCACATCCAAAATATGCTCATACTAAAAATCTGTGTTGTTACTGTTAACTAAAACTATATTCGTTAACTGAAATAAAGCTGAAATAACATAAAATATACATATTTGATATAAAAAATTAAATATCTAAATATAATTGAAGTAAAATAAGTAATCTGAAGTAACTGAAGTTAATAAAACTGAAATAAAAGTCAAGTTAAAGGGGTCGTATGATGTTGCTAAAAAGAACATTATTTGGTGTATTTGGTGTAATGAAATGTGTTTATGCGGTTTAAGGTTCAAAAAACATTATTTTCCACATACTGTACATTATTGTTTCTCCTCTATGCCCCGCCTTCTGAAACACGTCGATTTTTACAAAGCTCATCGGTCTGAAAAAGCGAGGTGTGCTCTGATTGGCCAGCTATCCAATGCGTTGTGATTGGCCGAATACCTCAAGCATGTGACGGAAATGTTACGCACCTTACCAAACTGTGATGCATTGTCCCGGTGCGACGAGACAAAACCAATAAAAACCCATTATAAACGAGGCATTCATTGCATCCAGTGGGGACATAATTATGGATTATAATGACTTATACTGTCTTTTTACGCATTGCGTTGCATCGCGCCGCGTAAACATAAAACCATGTCTGCATTTGGGTTGAACTGTTCTGGAACAGTGTTGTAAATACAACTTAACCACTGATTTCTAGT